GAGGGCTGCTGGGAGCAGGGGGTGGGGCTTGTTGCATCCGCCCGCCCCCTGGGCTCTTTACTGCTGGAGCTGCGCTCCTGCAGGAAATGACCCCTGCAATAGATAGGCTGGAGATCTAAAGCAATATCTAACATTTACTCTTTGACACTCCCAAAAGCAAATTGCACAATTTCAATGGACTGAAAAACATGATTTTAAAATGTCCATAAAGCAAAGCAAATACATTCACTTCTTAAGACTTAAGATAGACAATATAAAGTACGTCGCAATCAGCAAGTAGATCCAGTCCTTAGAACTTGGAACAGACAATAAGAAATAGGCCGCAGTCAACTCATCGTCCAGATTATTCAATGAGTTTTCGATTCCTTCATCAGGACTGCAAACAGGAACTCCCAAAGAGGCACAGCCACGGGAGCTATCCAGCCAATATTGCCTCCAAACTGTCTTATTGTACAGCAATGTCTCCAGACTGCCTTATTTTCCTTTATTCATGATGGATACATATAGCCAGACTCTGTAGGTGCTTTTCCATCTAAATGAATGTAAAGACGGCTTTGTTCATGTATTGAATACTATTGTATGTTTGAGAAATATCTGGAGCCTTATGTGATGTTAAGTTATACACGTGGTTCCTTTTAAGGCAGGGGATGCCGCCTGCTTCTATGACATCAAGCTGGGCAGACGACGTGTGGAGCACCACGATCATGCCGTCGTGAGCGGAAGGCTGGCAGGAGAAAATATGACGGGTGGGGCAAAGCCGTATTGGCACCAGTCCATGTTCTGGTAAGGTGGATTCACTTGTTTTCGTTTCCCTCCATAGCCAGCCTTAGCGCAAGCCCTTGCATGGTCCCTGTGCAGACAGCGCAGAGCACTGAAGAGGCCCATGTTTGTTCCTCTCCAGAGCAAGCCCCGTCCCAGAGTACCAAGTCAGACACCTTTCACCAGCTCCTTCCTGGGCCATCGGAGCGTTGGCTACCACAGTCAAGAGTAGCATGTATTCTGCAAAGCTGGTGTTTGACGTGGGATGGGTCATCCATCTGAAACAGTTTAGACGGGATGTGCATGGTCTTTATGGTCCTAAAGACTTGTGTGGGGGGGGGACGGACACCATCTAGTGGTGCATTACACTAAGAGAGTTAGAACTTCAGCTGCCAGACAATCCTCGGATCTCTTGGCTATACAACACGCACTGCCATACAATAATTGTTAGAGAATTGCTAGTAAACATCCTAATGCCAGAAGGTAGGATTTTCAGTGAGTGGGTTTTTGGGGTCCTGTCTTAAGTCTTTGCCCCTTCGATGAACAGAACAAACAAGGTTTAAAGTCCTTTTATGGATCGATTTCATTACTGGTATAAACTTGGCATGCATGAAAGGTTCCGAGCAAAGCCAGGTGATGTCAGTGTATGTCACGGCAGACGTCATAGAAGAGGCATCCCAGTTTCCATGAGGAATGCCTCCTCCAGGATGGTGCCTTGCCATCCGGGGTGTTTGCCCTTAGAAGGAAAACGTGGATGTTTTCTTTTAAAACACATGCTGTCTGTTTTGTCAAGGCACCGCTTGATTCTGTCAAAAAGTTTTTTGGGACTTAATGATGTTAGTAAGATCCGTGCGTTCCGTGCGCCTTGGTGTTTAGTCATGCCGGCCACATGACCACGGAAACATCTTCGGACAGCGCTGGCTCTTCGGCTTTGAAACGGAGATGAGCACCGCAACCCTAGAGTCGGATTCGACTGGCTTTCGAGCAAGGGAACCTTTACCTTTTAATGTTAGTAAGAACAACTTTGGCAAAATCAGCAAACATATTCAGCTCATCATTGTCTGAAGTGGGCCCCCCCCCCAAAATAAATAAATAAATAGCAACCTGTGTTAAATGACCTCTGAGGCTGAAATCGCATCATTAGGACAGAATGTGTTTGGGCTCAGTTACCTACATTTGTCTGAATTACAAAAGAGGAATGAACTCCCCCTGTATTCCTGAACTTTCGCCTTCTGCTGTTTTTGGCTGGTTCTTAGGAGTGATCTTGGCCCTGAAGTAGGCTATGAGGCTATCGGCCTTGTAGACAGCAGCTTGCCCACTGTGGGAGTATTTGCTAAAGCGACGGCAAGGGACACCCCAAAATCTGCGACAGAGCAGTCAGGTGAGGTTTTAATCCATAACTATGGAAGGGCCCTTGGCAATCTTTTTGCAGTGGTGATTTTGGGGGATGTAGCCCATTTCATCTGAATAGGTTTAAAATTTCTCAGCACTGTACCTTTGGGCAGTGTTAATGATAATCAGCATGATCTAGGGTGAGAGGTAATGTCAGCACGTTCTGTGTGGTACTTATACCAAGGTATGCATGTGTGTCGCTCATCCACCCATGGTTTGAGAAAGTATGTTGTTTCTGTGTCTGAACTGAAAAAGTGTGGACATCGGCAAGCGATAATCAGAAGACCAGGGCTTAAAGTGGGTTGCAAAACACAGTTTCTAGTAATGATGATTTGGGTAACTGCAGCTGGTACCGTGCCTCTGGGAAGGTGCTGCAGCATGGAGAGGGAGGAAACTTGCACTGGGAGCATGGGAAATGAAGTTAAGACTAGCAAGCAGCTAGAAACTGCGGTTTGCCTGTCGGGCATCTCATCTTCCAGACACGCCACTCACAAGTGTGAACTGCAAACAGAGTTCGTTGCAATGTCCAAACTGAGCTCATGCGTGTTCAACACTTGCCCTAGGAACTGGAATCCGCTCCGAGAGCGAAACGGAGACCGAAGCCTCGGAGCTCAAAGTCTCGGCCGCCTCCCCCAACAGCCTACAGGTGCCGCAGCAGGGAGAGGATTATGGCAAAGGAGTCGTTTTCTACCTCAGGGATAAAGTGGTGGTGGGGATCGTGCTGTGGAACATCTTCAACAGGATGCCAATTGCTCGAAAGGTCTGCTTGTGTGTGTGTGTGTGGGGGAGGGGCTGTTGGTAGAATGGGGCTTGACACTAGCCGTAGCAGTGAGTGCATAAAGCAGAAGCCGGGGGAGGGCATAGGTTCCCAGGGGCAGCTGGTGGAAAGGGAGGCAGTGGCAATGTCAGTGGGAGCTCAGATGGCTTGCTTTCTGTCTCTTGCAGATCATTAAAGACGGGGAAGAGCATGCTGACCTCAATGAAGTTGCGAAGCTCTTTAACATCCACGAGGAGTGAATGCTGTGGGCAGCCCTGTGCCCCTCAGGCTACGATGAAGTTGGAAACAGCGGGGGGTGGGGGGTGGGCATCCGCTGTGGGCTGTGTCAGCTCTTCTCGTTGCATGCCCCCCCCTCCTCCACCACCGTCGTGCGTATGAGTGTTTGTAGTGGCCCAGAGTTCTCTCTTTGCACCAGGAATAAAGCCGGATTAACATTCTAAGTTAAATCAGGACCTGTGAGAATTAGTTTTGTAGCCTTCTTACCATTAGAGAGCCAGTTTGGTGTAGTGGTCAAGTGCGCGGACTCTAATCTGGGAGAACCGGGTTTGATTCCCCACTCCTCCACTTGCACCTGGCTGGATGACCTTGGGCAAGCCATAACTCTGGCACAGCTGTTCTTGAAAAAGAGCAGTTTCTGTCAAGTTCTCTCAGCCTCGCCTACCTCACAAGGGTGTCTGTTGTGGGGAGGGGAAGGGAAAGGAGTTTGTAAGCCGCTCTGAGACACCTTTGGGTAGTGAAGGGCGGGGTATAAATCCAATCTCTTCTCTTTTCTTCTTCTTAGTTTGATGTTGGCAATGTGAGAGTTAGGAGTAGGTAGTCGGTTGATCCGTGCATAAAGCTATAAGACTTTGGAGCCCCAGTCCTCTGCTTGCTGGCGTGTAAACCGGCCACACACACCCTTCCGCCCTCCAGTGCCTTCCTCTGCAGTGATGAGGACAACACGGCCTCTGCTAAGGAATCCTGGAGCAGCAAGCAATGGTACATGAAGCAAGGAGCTGCTGTTCCGCAGGAAAAAGTGAAGCGCTGCGTCAGAAATGACAGCAGATGTTTTTGGGTGAAGCTGCTTGTGAGCTGGGGGCACAAGTTTTTCAAATGCAGCCATTGCCTCAATGAACACCTGACCTCCCTATCTGAGAAACGAACAATTGGGTACAAGGAAGGGTCAGTCTCGCCGAGTATCTGCAGT